AGATTTTTCTGTTCGTACAGCACGATAGCCACCACCAAGCTGAAAAATTGTTTGCTCGCCGTCATGAAGGTCTGTATGGGAGATTTACTGTCCGAAAGCGCGATCAAACAGGGTCTTAACGCCACCTTCAAGGAAAAAGATTTCTGCGAGAAAGGTTTTTTGGAACTCGAGATGCCACCAAACAATGCGTTTTGTCCCGCATCATTTAACAATGATGCAAACACTTGTGTGCGATCCTTTCGACAAAAATATATCAAGGACAAATCAGATCCTGCTCTTTGCTCGTAAGTTGATTGAATGAACATGCCTCTTATGTCTTTCATGTCTTTGGATTGGAAGTGGATTGAAATTGTGGAGGGGGGACTGGGTGGGGAAAAATTAATACAATCCAGAAGAGCTTGATGTTGTGACCATGTTGTGGTCTTTCTATACCTTCATGATTAAAACTGAACACAACTTCACATCAAGAGGGAAAAAGACAGACTATTTTCCAAACCGGTAACAGTTAAGAAACACAATGAAACCCAACTTATTTTCTGACCCCATTTTTTCCCCCATTAATTAAAAGTAGTCCCGCTACAACGTTATCTTCAATGTGATCTTGTTCTTCCCATCTCCCATTTCTTGATCAGGTACCATTGGATTTTCGTTCGTTTTGATTTTCCCTCAGTTAAGATTCGGGTCCGTCATACTAAACGCTCCTTATCCTTCCCCTCCCCCGACGAGTCTCGTTATTTCGTTCACCCGTATCCTTTTTTACTCTTGGGTGGGTGTAATTAGTGAGAGACTGAAATATTTTCCTCAGTGACTCAACACAATGCGCAAACCTGAGCCCGAACACTTGCCTCTCTTTACAGGGGGTAGCTCACCCAACGTTGACAATGTACTCAGTCATTAGAGGACTAATCTTTACATTTCTTCAGTAGTAATCGGTGTGAATTATTTATTTATCAGAGGATATGCTGAAGCAAAGAAGTGTTTGAAAAACCTGATCGATTCTAACTGCAACTACCCACCCAGTGGCAAGGAAATTTTCGACATGACTCTCAGTGTCTACAATCCTTTTTGCTCAGACAATCGAGACCCTGGGGCGACCGGAAATAATCCATGCGATGGCGTGCCAGATAAGACCGGCGACGGACTGAAATATTTCAATGCTGCCGCTGGAATCAAGCCGCGTGTACTGCAGGCGTTACTTTTTGCTTGTTTTTTGTTGCTGTTCTTTTTTAAAGCTTAAAAGAGCCTAAGCATCTTTTTTATCTCGATTTACAGAAAATTTTCTAGTCTTAAAGGTTTTAATTAGCCTAATTAAAGGAACAACATCAACTATACAGTAACTTTTGTAACAAGATCAAAGTAGTGTTTTAACGTTTAAGTTTGAATTAGAAACAGTTGAAAGGCGTTATTCAGTAAAATGTTTGAGTTCGTCTTGTTTTGTCATCTTTAGTGCCTTTTTAGAGAATAAATCATCATTTATAGAAAGGCTTCTTATGAAACAAATATCAAAGATTATNCCCCGACGAGTCTCGTTATTTCGTTCACCCGTATCCTTTTTTACTCTTGGGTGGGTGTAATTAGTGAGAGACTGAAATATTTTCCTCAGTGACTCAACACAATGCGCAAACCTGAGCCCGAACACTTGCCTCTCTTTACAGGGGGTAGCTCACCCAACGTTGACAATGTACTCAGTCATTAGAGGACTAATCTTTACATTTCTTCAGTAGTAATCGTTGTGAATTATTTATTTATCAGAGGATATGCTGAAGCAAAGAAGTGTTTGAAAAACCTGATCGATTCTAACTGCAACTACCCACCCAGTGGCAAGGAAATTTTCGACATGACTCTCAGTGTCTACAATCCTTTTTGCTCAGACAATCGAGACCCTGGGGCGACCGGAAATAATCCATGCGATGGCGTGCCAGATAAGACCGGCGACGGACTGAAATATTTCAATGCTGCCGCTGGAATCAAGGCGCGTGTACTGCAGGCGTTACTTTTTGCATGTTTTTTGTTGCTGTTCTTTTTTAAAGCTTAAAAGAGCCTAAGCATCTTTTTTATCTCGATTTACAGAAAAGCTTCTAGTCGTAAAGGTTTCAATTAGCCTAATTAAAGGAACAACATCAATTATAAAGTAACTTTTGTAACAAGATCAAAGTAATGTTTTAACGTTTAAGTTTGAATTAGAAACAGTTGAAAGGCGTTATTCAGTAAAATGTTTGAGTTCGTCTTGTTTTGTCATCTTTAGTGCCTTTTTAAAGAATAAATCATCATTTATAGAAAGGCTTCTTATGAAACAAATATCAAAGATTATGCCTTGTGATTAGTAGAGTTAAATTTAGCAATTTTTCTTAGAGGCTTGTTTAATTTGATTAAAGAATTTTTCTGTAAGAAACGTACTCCTGTGTGCAAGTGTACAAGTACTTTTCATTCCTACTACTGTCTCCTGTTAGCTGTGGAAGAAGAAAATTTGATCTCTAGTTTTTCTTGTGGTTTACAGGTCCATCTTCTTTTCCTTTCATTTTTTCAGTTACCTGTGGAGAGGGGAGCTTTAACGGTTGAAAGTTTTTTTTTTTTGTTCTTGGCTTTTCCCCCCCTCTCCCTCACCCAGTCACTCGTCTCAGAACTTCGGCCTGTCCAATATGGTGACTGCATATATTCGCCGCGCTGAATCTCCTGCATATCAACTACCGCCTAATAGCAGGCTAACGGAAACATTGTAAGGCCTTATATTTAACCGTCAACCGTGAAAGCTACCCCCCCCCCTCCCCCCATAAGAATCTGGTGTATTTTTGCAATTATCGAATCTTCTCGTTGATATCCGACCACAGGCGTCCCAAGCTCACATCCAAAGCTCACGTCCTCTAGAGAAATCCTTACTGACCAAACGTGTGATTAAGATTACAGATATAGGCCCTTAGCTGTAGTAGCATACTCTAAGAAATTAATGTCACGGCAAAAAACAGAAGACATCTTCGATGATCTTCGCGAAAGAGAAGGACAGCTTCCCTTTATCTCTTCATTCGCATTTGTTGAAATTAACATTTCCACGGCTTTTGAATCGATATCACCCTTCACACCCTAAAAACAGTAAGCATATTCTCCATACTTTTCTCTATACATTTCCTAAGGTGCTGACAAAGTGGATTTCTTTTGGCAATTAAATAAAGGGGGTAAGTTTCTAAAGAAACTGTGGTGCTGCGTCGGTTGGGGGTGACAAGGTAATTTGGTAATATCAACTAAGTTGAAATTGTAAATTGGCCACCGTAAAGAGTTAAAAAGCTGACGTTTCGAGCGTTAGCCTTTTGCNTGGATAAACTCGAAATAAGAGCGGGAACAGTATTGGAGTTAAGAGCTTACGTACATAAATATGACTGCAGGATTTTCAACATTGCGTTTTAAGCTTTCTGATTGGTAAAGTCAACCCCTGTTAGCAGTCGATAAATAGTCCCCTTACATGGAAAATAATCCACCAATGTGTTGTGTCGTGAATGTCTTTTAGCTGAATTAAGACAATCACTCCTCCGGAGCAATGAAAGCAAAGTTAAAGGAAAACTAGACATCATTTTGGTATGGATAATAAAAAGTAGTGTTTCAGATCTGAAGAGCGTCACTTGGCTTAGCTGAACTAATGCTCAGAGTCAAGAGGAGCTCACTCAATTCATAACCGCAGTCAATTCCTTTCACCCGGCTCTCCAATATACCTAGGACATTTCCCACAATTCGTTATCCTTTACAGACATCGACGTTTCAATTGAAAGATAGGGTTTATGCACTAGTGTGTATTACAAACCTACAAACTCACATAGTTACTTGTTATATTCTTGAGTTTTATAGAAATTGGTTGCCTCTGACTGTTGTTATTTCTGAAACAGACGTTTCGGCTAATGCTTAAGCCTTCATCAGTGATATGAAAAACGAAGATCGTTATCATATGCTATTTAAAGTTAAAAACGTGACGCTAGCTTGCGCGCGTAACTATGTATTTAATGCTCGCGCGAGGTCTTTATAGGCTTCTGGGAGTACGATGCGATCGTTCCCAGCATTCGGATCCAAAGTAGAGTGCCAGGCTTCAAGGAAAAATCTCTCGTGGCAATTAGTTTAAAAACCAATGACCCTGACGTTTGTGAAATCCATGTTATGGTCGAAAAGGTGGACATGGCTTACGACTTTGGAGTTTAAGTCAAAACCTGCAACTGCCTTTTTGTGCTCCGCAATTCTGGTCTTTAATGATCTTTTTTTTTGGCCATAGTACTTAAAATTACACTGTGTGCAATTGATTTTGTACACCATGCCTGACTTCTGGCGGTCAGGTTTGCCTAGCTCCTTGGGGTGTGGAAAAAGGCTGTTGATTGTTTGTTGTGGTTTGTAGGCTACTTTGACCTTTTGTTGTTTCAATATGCGACTTATTTTCTCGGAAACACCCTGTACACACGGCAGCACTACAAAGCCATTGAAGTTGGTCTGGGCGCGTTGTTTAAATAACACTCTCTCACAGTTCCGTATAAAAGGCATTG